GGCGGCAGCAGGGCGCTTAAGGAAATGAATAGATTCGGGGCCATGGTCCGGGCCACCGTGAGAACAATCGCCTATGGCGCCCATTGGCCAGTGGCTTTGGGGGACGTCAGTGATGACAGCTCTCTCTCTCTCTCTCTCTCTCTCTCTCTCTCTCTCTCTCTCTCTCTCCTCTTTTCTCCTCTCCTCTCCTCTCCCTCCCTCCTTTCACTCCCTCCCCCAACCTGAATAGCATTTCACGCTTCCACTGCTCATGCGCTCTGATCCAGGCAGGAATTCTTTTCTCTTTCCTGTACACCTACCCTCCACCCCCACCCCATCCCTTCTAGAAAGCTGAGCATTGCTATCAGGCTCCTGAAATTGAGCAAGGTTAGGTTATGCATCTACCCATGACCACTCTCTGAGAAGGAGTTGAGCATAGTCCTGGGCATTTTAGTAACCAGACCCCCCAAGAAGCTTGGAAAGTTTGTCTTTGAGTGCAAAGGAGAGGGTCTGGATCAAGGCAGGAAAGAAGGCTGCAGACTGCCTGGAGCAGAGAAACTCCTAGAGTAACGAACCTGGCACCCACTTGATTCTCTTTCCTCCTCTGAAACTTCGTCTTGCCCCCTTTCTCCCCTTCCTCCTTCTCATGTCCCCCAACCTAACTCACGTCCCCACCATACTCTGCCTTCCTGTTTTGCTTCCTTATTAGCCCACCTCCCTCTTCTTCTCCACTCTCTTCTCAGACAGCTCCCTTCCTCCCTTCCTCTCCCCCTTCCCTCCCCCACTCCCGGTGACAGCGCTCCTGGAAATAGAAACCCTAGAATCCCAGCCTGACTAGAGAGATGGAACCAGAGGAGGTCATGAGAAGAGGGGAGGGCAAGTCTTGTTTCAAACTCACTTCTGGCTTTCCTGAAAGGGCTCTTTTCATCATAGCTCGTATTTATCTACCTGAGGGTATTCTGGCAAAAAAGAAAAAGAAAAAGAAAAAAAAACAAAGAAGAAAAGACAAGACAGAAAGAAGGCGGCTCTGGACACACACATAAACAAATAGGAGGAACAGGTCCTTGCTCTCGAGGCTCTCTTGAGGGGACTAATCTCGGGGTCCTGACCTCTCTCCAGTGATGCCAGATGAAGGTTCTGTGAATGAAGACTAGGATTACTTTCACAGTCTCTGGGCACTTGTTGCCAAAACTTTAACCTTAATTCTTGCTATCTTTAGGACTCTGCAGAGGGGATACCATAGTTGACTGCATCCATGACCTTCAGTCTAGAATTGCCACCACAGCTGGCCCAGGAAGACCAATTGAGGATAATTTCAACTGTGGTTCAGGAATGACTGCCCCTTGTCTGCCCTAGGATCTGCTGCTTTCTGAGCCCAGGTCACTGACTGTTTCTTCTTCATGGCCAAAAATGTCAGTGGATATTTTTGGACCTTCCTGGCATAGAACATATCCCCAAGACACAGAAAGCCTTGGGTTTTTTTTTGTTTTTTGTTTTTTGTTCTTTAGAGAGTCCTAAAGACTGAAACAACAACAAAAACCTTTAAGAGGAGGGAGAAGTTTGAACAAATTCCATGGAACAATAACTTGGAACTGAAGGAACTACCCCGTCCCTGAGGATATCATAATCCATGAGTAGTAAATAAAGGTTTTTGGCTTTGTTTGTTTTGTTTTGTTTTGTTTTGTTTTTGAGACCCAGGATTGTCTAGAACTTGAATGGTTTTGGTCTTCTGCTCTTTCTGCCACTGTTCTCCAGGAGCTGGGTTTATAGACGTCCACCACCACAAATGAGTTAATGCGGTGTTGGGAAAGGAACGGAGGACTCCATGCATGCTGAACAAGTCCTCTACCAACTGAGCGACATTTCTACTCCCTAAATAAGGCTTTAAAATTTTTAATAATTGACTTATTTTCTAAAGCTTGGTACATTCTTCATTCATCCCTGCTTGGGGCAAGGGATTTAGCAAGGGATTAACTTCCACAATAATTTCTCTAGCTTTGAATAGCCTGTATCTCTCTGCTCTGCATTAGGAAGACTTAGGCAATTACAAACAGATTCTGTGAGCGCACTCACTTGCACATGCGCACACGACACACACACACACACACACACACACACACACACACACACACACACACACACAGGAGAAGGAGAGACATTTGACTTGTGTTACCTAAACCAAGGCCTTTTATGGCAATTTTAAAACTAGACTCTGGAGTCCATCTTCTTTCCTGGCTTTGCCCCCCACTCACCCCCCTTTACTTTCTTTAGCCCTTTAGTGAGAGGTACTTCTATCTGGTCCCTTGGCTTGTTTTCCCTTCCCCTTCATCTTTGGACAGTTGTTACTGAATTTCAGTGAATTTCAAGTCCTACCTCTGAGCAAAATGAAGAATGTATTCAGGTGACTATGTCCTGAACCCCCAAAGGGCTTAAAGCAGAGCATACATGCTGCAAACAAAACTGTGTTCCTTCCTGCCCAGCTATTCCTATCATCTGAACCTCAGATTGAGATAGTAAACCTGAGTGCAGGGGCACATGTACCGTAGCCCAGGAATTAAAATTCCCCTTCTCTCACCTAAACCTAGGTGATACACAATTAATTGCTCAGGATGTGTCAAATTCACGATCCATTTTAGCTTTTGCTAATTATTTTATTTGAACCAACGTGGGTTCTTAATACACATACTGTGACCCAGTCCCTGTTAGAAGCTTTGAGTAACAATGCAGACTGAACAGGGTTTTTTAAAAAGCATTTTCAGCTATTTTCAGAACCATTTGGAAGCCTGGTGAGCATGCTGAACTCCTAACAGTCATGTGTCCGCTTCTCATTTTCACAGGAGAAGAAAATGTTCACTTTCCATTAGCAGGTTGTAGAGAGAATGATTTAAAAAAAAATCCAAGTTTACAGACCTCCTGAATTGTTAAGTACTGACCTGTGTATCCGAAGGCTAAAGGAACCCAGAAGTTTTATATCTGGTTAGTATACAGTCTGTCTGACTAACTTTGCCCTTGAAGAGGTATGAACATGTGTATGACTTTTCGTGCCAGCAGCAAAAGGGCAAAGACATCTAATTCAGCCAAAATCACTGACAGTAGCCTGGCCCCATGGAGCTCCTTCCCAGATGCAGCCTTCTCTTAAAGCACTAAAAACATCTGGACCCATCCTGGGTAGATGTTTCTTGAGTAGCCAGGGGTCAGGTGACCTGCAGGTCACAGAGGCTGCCTGATCCTTGCAAAGTTCTTGGAGCCATATGGTCCATACCTCGGTTGGCTAAACATAACAATGGGACCAGACATTCTTTTAAGGTCCATTTCCCCAGAGACAGAGATAGAGAGAAAAATATTTCTTGTATCCATTTATATTTACTGACATAGAACTTTGAGCAATTATGTAAGGACCTTCAAGGTGTATTTCTAAAATAAACTCCAAAACAGTCTCAAGCTGATCAGATATGACAAGTCATGTAATGCCAATGTCCAAGAGGTATATTTTAGTCTTCCCAAAGGTCTTTTTGATGTCTCTGGACAGAGATCCCCAGTTTCAGAAACTGCAAATTGGTCAGAAGTGCTAATCTTCACTTGGGTTCAGCTTGTTTTTCAGGAGCTTCCTGCTTGGTTTGCAAAGAAAAGTGGGTGTTTGGGGCAAATGCTACCCACCTCAAAAGCACTAAAGCTTTCATGAGGGCTTATGTGGAGCAGATTCTACCAGTAACCCTGCAGCATCCTTCACCCTCCAGATTCTCTGAAAATTAATGCCCAGAATCATATCTTGAGCAGTTTTGCTCACAATAGCCACTCATCGATGGCATAAACAAATGATTTCTAGTTTATTTTCTAGAAATAGGGTAGCTGGTTCATCTGTTAGGACTCCGAGCCTCACTAGCTGAAATGCCTGACCTCTCTTCCTGGGAAGTTGGAAGGATGGAGATTAGGCATCAAGAGCTGGGCTGTTTTTCCATCTTGATCTTTGAAACAATACTAAATTATGATTATCTATTAAGTAGAGGGTCCATGGCTCAGAGCCAGGCCAAGCAGCCTCTGTCATCTGAATGTCCTGCTGCTAGATGTGCAGACACTTCTTCAGTTCTTTTTTTCCCCCTTTTCTGACCATGGTGCCACTCAAAATTAGGTGTGTATCTCTGAAGAGGCTATCCACTGACTTCAGGATTCCTGCAGTGGGAAGCATCTCAAGTCTTGTGAAAAGAAATCATTTAAGCCCCAGAAGCCTGCCATATGTCCAATCCCAAATTATGCAAAGGAGGTGAGGTCTGTCAGGTTTTTTTAGAAGAGGAAATTTTTCCTAATTATGGAAATTTGGGCTTTAATCATCATTAATGGAACTGAGAGTATCGAAAAAAATATACTTAGATGTAATTTAATTCCCAAGCAATGCTTCTGCAAAATGTCTTTTTAACAAAAGATTGCTGCTATAAGAACATCCATGGTAGCATTAAGGAATCAAAATACTGAATGTATATAATAATTGCACCTCTCTTTTGACTTCTACCATAAAATCATCCCAAGTAGTAGAAGAGAGTCATTTCCTAACTTATTTAACTTCTGTTAAGAAGCTTGCCTTGCATACCAATAAGGGAACATCTTCGGAGAAAACACGGAGTTGTATAGTTGAAATGAGAAAAATTAGATGCCTGGAAGGGGGGGAAACACCAGCCTTAAATCCTATGCTTATTCTAAATGGAATATGAAATTAAATTCCTCACAATGAAGGTATTTCTGACAGAGTGGCTGTCAGTCACTCTTGGTTCAGACACCACATTGTGGGAACATAGTCACTGCCACATTGCAGAAGGCTGGTGCCCCTGGTAAAGATGATGCATATCATGTAAACCCCATCACCAAGATCAAAGTCCGCCTCTTTCATGGAAGCCAATACATGTCAAACCTCATCCCAATCAAATTGTCTGGAAATGAATTCAAGATGAATATGTCATAGAATAATGTGACAGAGGAACTGCAGAAGGTCAAGGGTGGTTGTTTCAATGATCGAGTACTCAAATATTAATTCTAGAACGTCCAGATGAGTAGGAATTGAGGGGCTAATCCTCAGGCTGCTGGTGGGATGTTGTGTCATTGATTTGTGTGCAAATGCATCAAGCACCAAGGTGTTATTCTAAGTTTCATTTGAACTCTAGAGACATGCCAAACTCACATCTCAGTATAACAAAAGAGAAACAAACAAACAAAAAATACAATTTATGCATAAAACACAAAAAAGTAGAAAAAAGTGCCCCATCTTCAGCAAATCCATTTATAATAAGATTTTTTTTTTTTTTTACTCACTTGATTCTTTCAGGGTATTTCTGTAAAGCCGCAATCGTTTCCTCATCACCAAGGAAGACTTGTATTTCATTTTCTGAGTTTGAGCCTGCTTGAGAAGAAAAGAACTGAGTAAAACACTACCATACATGTCTCTGTGGCAAGAATCTGTGGCCTGAGTGTATGAAAGAAAGATGTTAGTCTGCAAACAATCTTTTAGCCTTTCTTTGATTGTTTTCAAATTTGGAAACACAAGGGGAAAAAAAAAGATTTCTGGGGACTACTCCTGTTTCTTGTAAAATCATATGGGTTGGTAACAAAAACATTGAAAAATCCTAATTTCACAGTTAGACTTTTTATCATTCATTGTTCTGCCTTGAGGGTGGGAGCATTCATTCAATGTCCAAAAACCTGTGGCTTCTAGAAATTGAAATTATGTTTCAGAAAACCCCATTATTTCTTCAAGTCAGTTATTTACATTTGGTGAGGTGCGGCAGGGAGGGCCCTCTGTTTTCTAGGGGTGTGCAATTATGCTTAGTTATATTGTTGGAAGGAAGAAGTTTGCAGATTTTGAAATCCTGTTCTGTCTGTAGTAGTGAATAATTCTTTAGTCTCACATGTTCCACCCCCACCTCCAGACCAACTTGAGAGCTGCCACTGACTCATTTTTCAAAGCTAATGTTAAATCCACCAGGTTAAAAAAGTATCATTTTGTTGTTGTTGTTAGTTGGTGCCAAGTTGCCCCTTAGCTGTAGTTGAAAAGTTTAGAAATAATGCCTCCCTCTCAAGATTATCAGTGGCTGGAGCTCCCAGGCATTCGGCAGCCATACATCCTTGGAAGCATTCTGAGGACCTCTGCATCCACTGGGCGAGACTGAAGACAGAGGAGCAGCCAAACAGGCAATCCACGTAGCACTGACCCTAAATTTAGTGAGGAAGGACAAACAGGCATTGAAAAAGGTCTCAGGCTGGACAAACACAGCAAGACCTCAGTCAATGGGACGTCAGCCTGTCTTGACACTCCAGCCCACAGGACAAGTGGCTATTTAACTTGTTGACCCACAGGCTAAATCCAAGTGGGACTGCAGTGTCATACAGGGTCTCTGATTTCTTATGTTCCCTCACCTCTCACTCAGACCCAACCAAACTACCCTAAGGTTTTTATCCTTTTTTTTTTTTCTTTCTTTCCCAGGCATGGGCCTGAGTATACTCACCTGTTCCCAGAGGAAATTGTTTTCAATTCTTTCTAACAAAAACAACAACAAAATCCTTCCATAAAGGTAACAAGCTCCTTCTAGCACAGACCAAGAGAAAAAGGAGGCCCAACTTTGCATTCTTACAGAAGGGCAGCGAGCCCGGGTGTCTTTGCTCTGAATGTCCTCATGGCGGGGTATCTGGCACCACAGTTCCTGGTTGGTTGGCAATAATAGAATTTACTTGTTTGCTTCTGAGGAAAAGGGGTGTAAGTTTCCCTAGAAACTTCTGTCCACCCACAATGCTGGCACAGCCCAACTTCTAGGAGGTCTGTGGCTGGTACCCTTTTCCCTATGTGAATGTCCTTTGTACATTACAAATGGTCCCACAGGCATGCAAGCAAATGTATCAAAGGTTGGACCAAGGCAGACAAGAGGGGCCTTAAGTAGTTCTGCAGCAGCTTTGTGTAGGGAAATAGGCAAACATCACTTTGGTCCAAATTTGAGACCATTTAGCCAGTGGTCTTGCTGAAAGAGCAGAGTGAGGAAAGACTTTGGGAAATGACCTTGGGCCCCTGAACCTGAGGTCCCCAGAATAAGAGATCTGAAAAGCTCTTTGATTTCTCCAAAACTGTTGCTCCTGAGGTGTCTCCCTCTTACCTTAAGGAGCACCACCAGGTGAATCAGCCTTTATCCTGTACCTTGAGAGGAGTGGAGAGCGGTGCCGGGGAGCCTCAGTGATTGATAGTGACAAGAGGACGGGATGGTTGGTAGTGCAAAAGGCACGATTTTATTTGAGGAATCACAGAGGCTGCCTGTTGTAAGGTGGACTTAGTCCACACAGGCCTGTCTGAGGTCAGAGGTCAACTAAAGCTGGTGACTTCCGTTCCACACTGATTAACTATCAGGCGTGAGTGAATACTTGCCCGAAAAAACTCGGCCCTGGCAGGCTCAGAGCTACCAAGCCGAAGATGAAAGCCGCTGCTGGCCTTTGCTCGGATCGATCGCCAGCTCCCTGGCTACCTTCCACCAGCCCTGAAGCACCAGGAAATGGAGCTGAGCGCCTGGGTGCTACTCACTCCTTTTCTTAATCCTGTCCTCGAGAGGGTAGATGAGTTCAGATTCCCCTTGTTCTAGGCCGAAGGCCGGCAACCTTCAGGTGCCCAGTCAAGTCTAAACTAGTGGGATCACCTACAGATAATCTAGTCTGGGCACTTAAGCCTTACTTTAAACACAGGAAGGGAAAAGCACGGTGCCCCAGAAACAGAGGTTGGAGTCACTGCCAAGCCTTGACATCTAAAGGTAGTTTCTGTAGACGGCAGCGAATGCCCAGGACTCGAAGCAGCCCTCCCACCCCCTCTCTCCATTTCCCAGACTTCGCTGTCTCCCACCTCTCCCTGTGGACCATTCATCAACTCCAAACTTGCAGACTTCGAACCAGGCAACTAACTCTTTTACACCCAAATCCGTTCCCTTCTCTCTTGCCAGTAATTTGTTACATGCCCCTGGGTCTAGGCTTTGGCTGGCCTGGTCCCCAGACCTAACCGCAGCCCGGAATCACATCCAGGAGAAAGAAAGCCAAGTCGCGAACCCATGGCTCATGACACATACAGAGGCAGATCCTAGAACCAAGGACAAGGGCGGGCAGGCAGCCGGCCCCAGGCGGACCCAGACGGCATCCTCTGTGAGTATCCGCAGAAGTTCTATGATGTAGCCGCCCCACAGCACTAACTTGATGCTTTGACCCTACCGAGGGGAAACCGAAACCCTCCCCGCCATCCTTGCGGGAGGGAAAAGCATTAAGGCCGCCTGCAAGGGCTCCTTCACCCGCACCCTCTTGGCTTCCGCCATGATCAAGAAGGGCAAGACTTTGCCCTTCTTGTGCCCACGATGGGCACACCCAGGCACAAATTTACAAAAGAAGGGGAGGGAAGACTGGCGGGCAACAAGCTGTTTTGGGTGCTATCGCCAGTTGGAGCCTCCTTTGACTTGCTCGCACCCACTCCTCCCCGGAGGAAAGAAAGGGCTCATCCTCAACGCTGCCCGTCGGCAGAAGGGCTCCTCCCCACCCCCTTTAGAATCAGTGGGGTGGGGCCTGTACCCGTGGTGGCTGTGTGTGTGTGTGTGTGTGTGTGTGTGTGTGTGTGTGTGTGTGAAGGCAGAGATGGAGAAAAAATTCCGACTGGGCCTATTCGCCCAGCGGGGTTTGGGTGCCTATGGCCCCCATAAGAACACTGGCTAAAAGGCCGCTGGGGGTACAGGTCTTCCCGGTCTTACCCCCTGGTTTCAAGCACTTACCCTGCTCCACCTGTTGCCCGGATCACCTCATTTCTGCACATCACTTTGGGGTGGATGAGGGGGGACCACACATCCCTCTAAGCCTCTTTTGTGGTTCCACCGAGGCGGTCATCCTTCATTTCTCCTTCTCCAGCTTTCGGGGAAGCAGTTAGGGAATGTATGATGGAGCAGAAATGAGCCGTCAGGATGATATTTTAATGGCTTATATGTCACGTTGGTGCATGTGGCTTTGAACTGGAGCCGCTCGCGTTTCCTGCAGAGAGCGCCGCAAATCCCACTTGATAACTTCTACAACCCACAACTTTTTTTTTTTTCCCCCTCACACGTTTACTCTTACCTCGTATATTTGGACGGGTTTCCTAAAAATACCCTCTGTCAACGTCCTCGCTGGATTTTCCACAGACTGGAGGAGAGAAGCTTGACTTTCTTTTTTGAAGAATTATTTTCCCTCCCCTCTCCCAACAGCCGCCCTTCCCTCAGGTCCCCTCCCTATTTTTTTTTTTTTAAAGCAGTCAAGGTGGGTTCAATATTTGTTCTCCCTAGTGAAAGACCAGTGCAGCCTCTAGAGGAAATTTCTCCTTGAATATAAGATTTTCATCATTCTAGGATCCAACTTCCCCTTGTAGGAGCAAAAAAGAGCTGAATGGTTCTGGTGTATCTTTTCCCCTAAACAAAATATGATAGGTCCAAAAGGAGCCCCTACCACCACCTTCCGCTCCAGCTTTCCCTATCACTCATTACAGGGGTCCACTCAGATTATGTGAGAAGTGCTGGGCCACTGGACTCAGACTTGTTGCTGGGGGCAGAACATTCTTGATTTTTTTTTTCTCCTTTTCCTGGAATTTCTATTTTCAAGCCCCACAAGCACAGGTGCTCAACACAATCTCTTCAGACACAGGGAAACCATCCTTAGCCACAGTCTGACTTCAGAGAGAGAGAGAGAGAGAGAGAGAGAGAGAGAGAGAGAGAGAGAGAGAGAGATTTTTTTTTAAAGGACAGCCTAATTCTACTTCACTGTGCCCAAACCAGAATATGGGAAGAAAACCGGCCAAACAGAAAGGAGGCTAGAAGTAGCCAGTGCTGACCTTTCTTCCTCCAGCCCTAGGAAGCTAGCTGGAGAGACAGAGAGAGAGAGAGAGAGAGAGAGAGAGAGAGAGAGAGAGAGAGAGAGAGAGAGAAAATCATTTCATTTTCCTTTTGCTTGGTAAGTTTTCTAACCGGACATCACGTGAAAGGATGAGTTGAAGGTCCCTTTGTCTGGAAAAGAGTTTAGAGCCTTGATTCAGCTGCAAAGAAGCCAAATGAAGTTAGAAACAAAGGGCAAATTGAAGGATTCCGACTCTTGGCTTTTTGTGTTTTCCTTACTAGAAAATAATTAGACCTAATGAATATGCAGGCGCTAAGGCTAAATCCTGGGCCAAGCTGATGGGCTTAAAACTGAGCTAAGGAGAAACGCAACCTCCATCGCCCCCGGCTCCACATCCGCGTGCATTTTTTGAAATGTATAAATGTCGCTCGGTTTAATTGATTGAGTTACAGGGATTTTCCCCCTGCTTTTGCGTGCCATACTCCTCTACCTTTCAACAATCATTTTAATATATAGTCAATGGTTCTTTGTGGATGGGACAAAAAGCAACTACGCGCAGTTGTTGAATAGACTTTGCGCTGGGCAAAGACAGGTTAATCGAGGGCCGCATCGCGAAAACAAGCGAGTGTTGTATGTTTGCACGGAATCCAAATGTCTGCATTTTCCTAACTAAATCAAAGGGAGTGTTATTTCTTTTTCTGCTCACTCATCTGAAGGTAAGTAAATTTTCTCTGGCGATCAAAAGCCTGGTCGGCAACAAAGACCGCGCCCGCTTTTTCCACCGTCTTGTTGTGGCAAGTTGCGGAATTTCAATAACTGTGACAAGGGTGACTGATTTGTGAACTGGAGAAGGTTTGAATGTCACAGAATTTACATTAGTCCTATCTACCGGGGATTTAAATACCAAAAAAAGTATTCCGGGAATCTCTAGGGAGCTTTGGGAGATCCAGAGGAACAATGGCGCGTTGGAAATTTACAGTTTTACCTGAATGAAAGGGGCTGGGGATGGGAATTGGAGGGCAGAGTGAGCGGGCTGGGGGTGGGGGCAAAGCAGACAACGGACCCAACCAGAGAAAAGGGAAAATAGTGAGTGGAGAGGGAAATCGGCAACAGCGTTTCCAAACTGCCATTAAAAAAAAAAAAGCCAACCAAACAAAAACAAACAAACAAACAAAACCCAACCCGACAAACCTCAGGAACCGGGAAAAGTTTAAGAGCTCCATCCACCTGTGTTTGGGGGTGAGTGGGCACGCAGGAAGGAAGCCTGGAAAACTGAGGCTACGGGAGACACAGAGAAATCACGTTTCTAGGAAAGAGAGTTGGAGTGCCCTCGCGCGCTCCCGAATCTTAAATTATAAACAGGAGAGAGGCCCGGCAAAAAAAGGAAGCAAACTTCAAAAGGAGCAAATAACAAAAGCCTCCTTTGCTGCCCTTGAAGGGGGGAGAAGGGGAGGGAGGGAGAAAAGAAAGTTGCTGAATCGGGACATTCTGGAAGTGCCTTTGGGGTGTTTATCAGCTGGTCCCCAACTGGGCACTACGAGACGCCGGGGGTCTCTAGTCTATAATCGCTCAGTGGAGGTTTGAAGGAGAGGGGCAGAGGGATGAGGAGGGGAAGGGGGGATGTGA